AAAATCTTACTTATGAAATTTTCCCTAAATTTAATACATACGGGCCTTGGGAATTGTGGCCCCGAAGCTAATGCGTGAGCCATCGAGGTTGGGGATCGCAAAATAGGAGGGGGCTCGATGGCTGTTCTTCAAGAGGATTCTTTGGGAGATGGGGGTTGTTAGGAAGAAGGTTGGAGAAGACAACTCAAGCCAATTAAAAAATTAAATTTTGGATTGTTACAAGGGTTTTAAAAAGGCTTTCTTACTATTTATCTGATCATTAGATTAATTTCAATCAAGAATCAAGATTATTTGTCAAATACTTTGTAAAATTTATCAGTACCTGAGACACTCCCTTAGATGTTAATTAAGTAGAAATCTTTAAATTGAAAAATGCAGTATTTTGCAATTTTGCTAAATAATAAAAATAAGTATTGTGCCTAACCATTTCATAAACTAATAGATCCTACAAGATTTTACACTTGTAAAGATATAATTTGATTTAAGCTTAACTTTACAAAATCATATATAGATTGATTTATAGAACGATGACAAGGAAAATAGATAAAAAGAAAAAGGAAAGAAGAAAAAAAGTTAGTTAATATAATTTACATAATTATTATGTAAATCAATCCGCAAATCATAACGTACAAATAACGTTATTCATTTAATAATAGTATTTATGTCTATTTTTCTGATCAATATAGACTATCGGGGAACTAATGATGCCCGTCGGGAAAAAAATAATAATTAAAAAGATGAACGTGTCTTATAAGAAAAATGTCAAAACAGTCCCACTCAACTAAATTTCTGTCAATTTGCAATAATTAATTTAACGACTGTTAAATAATGGACATTTAACTTTAGTGGATGTTTGGTGGAAATTAAAATTATATTTTTTAATAGATTAGATAAGAATTATTAAAATATATGTTTGAAAAATTGTGGGACCCACGAAAAATATGATTAATATTAATTATTTGACTTTGATTTAAATTAAAATTAAATTTTAATCCAAACCAAACAAGCGTTTAATAATTAAATAAAAGGTTCATGATGATTTTTGTATATTGTCATGCTTGCGTCCTAACATTTTGTATCACATTTTTTATTATCTACCATTCATTGACTAGCACATACAGTGTCTAAAAGATTAATTAATTCCTTACATTTTTAAATAAGAGAAAAATACAATAAATGCTAAACAAAATGACGAGTAACTAATTAATGATTAAGGACAAAAATGCAATGAAAAAAAAAATAACAACATATTTAAGACAATGAATAAAGTTTAGAAATCTTTAATGCAATTAAAAAGTGAAATCAACTTATAACCATTATTGCATCCAAATGAATTTTGCAATAGTGACTTTTGGGGAGTCTGTGGTTAAAAAATAAACAAAAATTTACGTGTAAAATATTTCGTTGTAAAAATATGTAGTTGAAAATAAATTTATAAGAAAACAAATTTTGAGATAATAGGAATCGAACGGTAAAGGGGACATTCCCTTAGATGTTAATTAAGTAGAAATATTTAAATTGTAAAATACAGTATTTTGCAATTTTGCTAAATAATAAAATTAAGTATTGTGCCTAACTATTTTATAAACTAATAGATCCTTCAAGATTTTACACTTGATCATCTGAGTACCAAAGTTCTGATCAAGAGGACGGTCTACGCAAGTGCATAAATAAGGTTTGATGGTGGAGCTACCAACTGCGAGGAGTCCATGTGAGTAGACTCTAAAAAATAGAATCCCGATCCATGCAATTAGGTAAATCTATTCGAACGGTTTACTTTCATTACTTCTTACAATTCGATGGTATTCTATTAATGAAATACTATGCTTCTCATGGTAAAGATATAATTTGATTTAAACCCCGTTTGGCCCCCACTTGTGGAAATGAAAATGGGTGGAATAATGTTTTTTTTAAAAAAATGAATGGTTGAATAAAAAGGAAAAATTTTCGATTTATTTGTAATATTATTTTATGAAAGGTTGTGGGATTGAAAATATGAGAGAAAAAAATAAAATGGAATGAACATTAATGAATGCCAAACGGGGGCTTAAACTTAACTTTATGGAATCATATGCAGATTGATTTACAGAATGATGACAAGGAAAAGAGATAAAGAGAAAAATAGAGAAAAAAAAAGACAGTTAATATAATCTGCATCATTATTATGTAAATCAATCTTCAAACCAAATCATGATGTACAAATAACATTATTCACTTAATAATAATATTTATGACTATTTAGATCTGTGATTGTTTATTTTTCTGATCAATATATAGACTATTGGAGAACTAATGATGCCTGCCAGGGGAAAAAAATAATAATTAAAAAAGATGAATGTGTCTCATAAGAAACAATAATTCTACTCAAAACAGTCCCAGTCAACGAAACTTCTGTCAATTTGCAATAATTAATTCAACGACGGCTAAATAATGGACATTTAATTTTAATAATTAAATAGAAGCTTCATGATCTTTGTATATTGTCATACTTACGTACTCACATTTTTATCATCTACAACATTCATTAACTAGCACATACAGCGTCTAAAAGATTAATCTATCCCTTATATTTTTAAATAAGAGAAAAATACAATAAATGCAAAACACAATAAGGAGTAACTAATTAATAATTAAGGAAAAAATGCAATGAAAAAAAAATAATAACAACATATTTAAGACAATGAATAAAGTTTAGAAATCTTTAATGCAATTAAAAAGTGAAATCAACTTATGATCATTATTTCATCAAAATGAGTTTTGTAATATCGATTTTGGAGGGAAAATGTGGTTAAAAAGTAATAGAGTGTTTTGAATTTACGTACGAAATATTTTATTATAAAAATATGTAATTAAAAATA